TTATGACTTTTTCTCATTGGCCATATTGCTGACAAAGATGTATATAATCATGTGATAATTTTAACCTACAGGACAGGCCATTCAATCCCCTACCCAAAATCATAAATTGGTTAGTATCAGAGAAACAGAGAATTTAGGAAAATGATTATACAAAAAAACACTATTTTACAACTTTCCTTTTAACATCAGAGCCCAGATGCAATTTCAGGGCCACCGACCCTGCTCTGGATTGTGACCTCCTGTGCTTGAAACGAGCTGCAGGTTCTCTTAATATTCATCAACAGAGTTGCGACTTGGTCACAGAGCCATCCTTACCCCAGAGGTGGGATTGTTGCAGGCAACTTTTTGGCCAGTGTGCCAGCAGCCATCTCTGGTCTGGTGCTGTGAGGGAAGATTAATGAAAAGTGTCATTGATGATTGATGCAGTCTTGATAAATTCCAGGGCCATGTGGCCCCCTCCTGGAATTCGATAGCATTGTTGTATCATCAGGGGAATCTTGGTCAGATTAGCCTTTGTACATGAGGAATGTGTGAGAATGACTGTAAGTATGTTCAAGGTAGCATGCGTCTCTAAATTTCCAATAATCAAATGTCACATTTCAAAATGTTTCTTTTTCAACAGTCAATGCTCCCTTGACATCTTGTAATTATATATTAATAATAGTATTATTATTATGATTACACAAAGCAAAATATTATCAATGAAAATCTTGTAATTACCCAGCAATGATCTGCTCTGCATTTTGATTTCCAATTAAAATATTTATAAGCTAAAATAAAAATATCAATCAATACAAATAAAAAAAAGTACCTCTGGTTAGTTATTAACATGTATTCCCAAACCAAACAACAACACTCATGTTTTATCACCTTGGACACTGTCAAAAAAAACCAATAGGATAAATAATTAATGTGTATGTGTTGATCAAATAACATACTTCTTTTCTTTAAACATGCCTTGAAATAAAAGAAGTAAACAAGATGAACGTGAAGAATTTCCTGAGTAAGTGTTTTAAGGATGGTGGTGGTTATTGCCCACCACTTGTCATTACTCTAGTTTTTTTTAAAGAAAAAGATTATTTATTTCAAAAACTAGCAGAAATGATTTTTTTTTTTTTTTTGATATTACATAAATTCCAATGCTCAAACTTTATAATACTATAATACTAACATACTATTTTTTTTTTCACTTTAAAACATGTAATACAGAACGATTCAAAGAAAAAATCTTGATGCAAACAAGTAAGTATTATCAGGGCATGTTCAAAAGGACTAGAATGACAAATCATAGTCCAATCACCATTACCACTGTTTTTTTTATATAGCTTGTAATGAGAGACTTGTAAAATGATCATGATCATCATTATATTTTCTTTGACTGATTTTTAATTTTTTTATATGTACATAGTAATAGTGAGGATGAATCATTTACTGAAAAAAGAAAAAGATCGTTATCTTCATTGTCATTGTCACTATCATCACAATCTTTTGGTTTAGATCTTTTTAAAGAAGCTGAAGGCAATGAAAATAACAATGATAGGGAAAGAGTTTTTATAAACTATCAAAATATTTAATGTAAGTTCAATTAATGAATACTTTTTAATTAATTTTTATTAATTATAATTTTGGTTTAGAATAAACCAAGTAATGGATCATATGGAATAGTAGTAAAAACTTGGAGATAGATATAGTTAGATCCATTGGGAGGCATTCATTTTACCGACAATCATTTTACCGACAGTTCATTTTACCGACAACACGCGGTGCGCCATTTAACCTCCACATATCAAACAACAAATAAAATGCTAAAATGGCGCGCCGTGTGTTGTCGGTAAAATGACTGTCGGTAAAATGATTGTCGGTAAAGTAATACGTACCCAGATCCATTGGCATGGCTATAAAACTTGAATCAATTTTAAAAGCTAATTATGATGATCCAATACTATCATTTATCTTCGATATTGTGAGATTGTAAATGGGGACTGAAGAGTCCCGAGTATATATGATGATCAATCGGAACCAACTTACTGTGCTAGTCACGTGATAATGTTATCATTTTCTATTTTATCTTAAGATTTTGTGTGACTACTGTGCCACACATTGCGTCATGTTACACATGTAGATTATTACATCATTTCTATTTTTACTTATTTTATGACATAATTATTTATTTCGAATTATTAATCAAATTATTTGTAATAATGACTCATGGGATTAGTAATTATGAGTCAGAGAATTAGTAATTAGCAATTAGTAAGCTAGTATTACAGAAAATAGGATTAATAAGCATATTTTATTGGACAAAATATTGTAAAGGTCATGTTATTTGTAATACCTCAAGAGGTATAAAAGAGCTTGGTTTTAGACCAAGTGAGAATTATCATGTTCATGATATAACAAGAATAACATAGTAATTACCTTGTAATCACCATATTATCACTAATAAAGACACATAACACTTTTACAATAACACTTGAGCTCTTAATAAAACCTTTGACAAATCTTTGAAAAGCAACCTTTATCTTAATTAAAAGCCATTCTACCTAGGGGATGCCTTAGCATTAACAAACGGAATACCAGAAACTATTCAGAAATGGCAAGCAGACTTGTTATTGTTGTTTAATTTAATACATTGATCATTGAATAATTGTTATATCATTATTTAGAGGCGAGATGATACAACCTGCATCCAAATACAGAAAAACAATGCAGAAATTGTTCAACAAAACAAAAGGTGAGAGGATGCAAATCAGATCATTGTTTGTTTGTAGGGATGCTTGGTTTGTGTCTTGAAATCTTATTTTCTGAAGCATCCACTAAAACTTTTAATGAAGATGATCTATTAGAAAAAATTAATGAGGATTGTAATAAGCTGCTTAGACTTGGAAGAGATGTTATTACTAAGATCAGAAAAGAAGTTGTTATAAAAAATCAAATTTACCTTGAAGATTCGGAGAAAGATTAGAACCTGGTGTGCATATTCCCAGATTTGGTGACAATAGATCTTGTGTATGGTGCAGATATAAAAAAAAAATGGAAGGAGGATCTTCAACAATTAAAACAAAATCTGTGTTTTATTGCAGTTTATGTAAAGTTTCACTATGTATTAAAAATGATAAAAATTGCTTTGAAGATTTTCACACATTAGAAGAAATATAATGTTTGTTTAAGGGATAATCAAACAGGATGATGAATTTTATATTTCAATTGGTGATATAAATGATTGTGGCATTGCATTAGCAATAATCAGGGCTTTTCTATTTCAAATAGAGTTGGCACCCATAATGTAAAATTATGTAGAGGTTGGAACCGGTTAATCAATTAACCAGTTAAAGTATTTCGTTAACCAGTTAGAAACAGTTAAATGTAGATCACCCTTAAATTAGTTAATTTGAATTTCCAGCCACTTCAGTCCCCAGCGAGCAGCTTTTTTCAGATGCTGGAAATAATATGACAAGTAAATGTACAAAACTTAAACCAAAGTTTTTTCAAGAGATTCTTTTTGTAAAAAGAAATTCAAAATATATGAATATGTTTGCATTGCTTGACAATGAGGTAAAATTTTTTTGATATATTATTTTTTTAAATTACATTTTTTTGTAAAATGTATATAGAAAATTTTAATATAAATTATAATTTGTTATTGTAATTTTTTATAAATTATAATTATTATTATAATTGTATTTGAATTTTTTTGACAAGTAAATAAAAAAAATAAAAATTTTTTTTATATAATTAACTGGTTAAGGATTTTTTGGCTGGTTACAACCTCTAAAATTATGGTATTACAGTGTTGCAACTCGTGTTGCAACAATACAACATTTGATATTTGATTATGGGTGACAAGCTTAACTTCAAGAAGAGCAAAAATACAATAATTTAATAAAAGGTGATTTAGACCAATTATATATAGTTAAATTACCTGCACCTTTTAGAAAAAAAGCAAGGTTTAAAGAAGCAATAGTTTGAAAAGGTATTTGAATTTTTCTTTTCTGAAATACTCTTTAAAAATCAAATCATAATCTTGTGTAAATTAAAACTGGCCTCTTCCTTTATGGAAATTGCTATAAAATAGGTTCAATTCAAAAAATCAGTTTGGTTTATGGCAATTTGTAAACGTTCAAATAATTATCACTTAATTATTTAAACAATGTTAATGAACAAGTAATTTAATTGTTGTTAAATTAAAGTTATCTTTATTTTATTCGAATTTTTGATTCTTTAAATAATAAAATTACAATTCTTAAAATACAAATATAGATCATGAAAGAAATAAAGAAATAAATAATCTCTATATTGTATGGAAGCTTATAGACTTCCCGGAAAGTATTAATCTTAAAAGATAACATTCATAATAAATATAATAATAATAAAAATAATAATAAAATAATAATCATTATACACCATCGCCAAAACTCCTAATAAAAATATCAATAATTCAAGGAAAAATAATATTCATGATTCTTCGAAATAAAACGCAATAATCCCGATTGCCAAATTAGTAATAGCGAATTTAAACAAACGAATTTTTCTACATTACCAAATATGGTATGAATTAATTGCCTAATTTCGACTACGTAGAATTATTTTACCAATTAACGATTGTTACACAATTTTTGAAGGATATTAAAATAATTGGCTTTATAACAAAAAAAATGAATACAATTATTTGATCAATTTTTATTTATTGTTTGGGATCTTTTGAATAGAAATAATAGAAATATTATTTGAAATATATTTTTTTTTCTGAATAAATTGTTTTTTATTATTATTGCATTTGAGTGCCTAAGGTAATAATATAAAAATGTTACAACATCAGGAAATTTTTTCTGACGTAAATTTATGTAATATTATGGGGCCCGCCATAAACTTACATAAATAGTGTAATATTATGCAAAAATTGCACAAAAATTATGCAATTATTACATTCAGTGTAAATATTATGTCCTTTTTATGCGAAATATTACGTCATTTCATATTAAAACTTACGGATGTAATATTACGGTGGGAAAAGTTTCCTGATGAAATACATCCCTTAATATTAACATGAACTTTTCAAATAAAATAAAGATGCCTTTTGTCTGAAAAATAATTGGTTTTTCAAAATGTATTTTATAGCCCGATCCACTTGTACCTGAAAATGAAATTTTTTCAAATCTTGGAGTTTAAAGTTTATATCTGAACTCCAGCCTCCTATCTGTTATCTATCCAAAGTAATAAATGCTATTCAAAACCATTAAAACAATTTGGATATTTGAATTTGAACAAATGTTTGAATTTAGATATAGCAAACACATGCTCACCTATGTTAAATTAGGTAGTAAATTATTTTCCTTCCAATTTTCTTTTCTTTCTAAATTCTTCATGTTTTCGTGATAAAGTTTTTTTTACTGGTTATGATTTTTCTTTTCTTCTTGGTAAATTTCATAGGTAACCCTTTCTTTCTTAGATAAGCTTCCAGTGTCTGAGCATCATTTATTTTGAAAATATAAGGAACAGTTTTTTCACCTTGTTTCTTTTTTAAAATACTTCTGATAATACTGTAATTCTTTGGTTCCATAGTGGATCATACTAACTAGGGATAGTTCTAGATATCACTTAAGATAACAAATGGGATATTATAAAATCGTTGATTGTGATCACATTACAAATGACTAAATTTTGCCCTGAAATCCTTGGTATACCAATGTTCATTTTGTCTGGTTTTGTCATATGGGGCATGCTCCAACAAAACCAGACAAAGTGAACATTGGTATTACCAAGAATTTCAGGGTTCAAATTTAGTTATTATCATCACAATTA